CCATCCCCAACTTTCTAGTGATAGTTTGGAGTGCTAGACTGCACAAGTCTCCGGTCAATACATTATCTAGCTGTAAACTTGTAGACATGTATATAGTACATATTAGATTCCGGACGAGTTTTTCTTTAATAAATTGTCCGTCGACCTCAATATGTTTGGTCCTATCATATTGTATCGGATTGTATGCAATGCTTATAACTAATTTTTAATCACAAGATATGTGCATAGATTTCTCCCACCTGATTTTTTAGATTTCCTAAGTTTCTTTTTGACCATAGTAATTCACATATCATTGAGCTATTGGTCAAAACTTTGATTCTGAACTTCTTACAACTATTATTTTACTTCTTACTTCTCTAAGTAACTAGGTTACCCCCAAAGAAGATACAATAACCTCTATCCACCACTTATCTTGCATAATCTGCATCCATATAGGTTTTTAAGAGCAACTTGTCACTCTTTCTGAACAAGATCTTTTTCCCTGGTGACCCTTTTAGGTAATGCAGAACTTTGTGGGCTGCTTGTAAGTGCACTTTTTAGGACTGTGCATAAACTGACTTATAACACTTGCTATATATCTAATGTTTGGTCTTGTGTAAGACAAGTGTATCATTCTTTCAATTGATTTCTGATACATCCTAATCTACTGGTGTATCTTCTTCTGCCACTCCCAACTTATGATTGAGATCAAGAGGAGTACTAGTTGGTTTACATGCTAGTTTTTCAATATCTCTTAACAAGTTATGAATATATTTATACAAACATATAAAGATTTTGAATTTTGAGCGGCTAACTTTAGTTTTAAGAAAATATTTCAACTTATCTAGCTCATTGATTTCGAATTGCCAAACATTGCTTTAGTATTAATTTTTTTTTTTATAATCTCTTGTTACAATAATGTCATCAACATATATTAGAAGTACAACTTCCATTATCTCGGAGTGCTTGATAAATGGTGTGTGGTCACCTTGAGCCTCCTTATATCCTAAGTCTATCATCACTCTTGCAGATCTACTAAATCATATTCTAGGAGATTGCTTAAGTTCATAAAATTTCTTTAGTCTACAAACTTTATTTGGTCCTTTTTTTTTTGGCAAAATCTGGCAGAATCTCCATGTAAATTTTTTTCTTCCAAATTTTCATGTGAAAACTCATTTTTTATATCGAATTATTATAGTTGTCAATCAAAATGAACAGTTATAAATAACAAGACGTGCACTGTGTTCATCTTGGCTTTGGTGCAAATTTTTCTTAGTAATTTATCTCATAAGTCTGTTATAAATTTTTGCCACCAGTCTTTCTTATACCTCTTAATTCTCTAATCTACCTTGTATTTGATTGTGAACGCCCATTTGCATTCGATAGGTTTATTTCCTTTGCTTAGATCCATCATTTGATTTTTCTCTAATGTCTGCATTTTCACATTTGTAGTATTTTTTTCATTTCTCACAAAAGAATGTCTCAAAGACGGTGTTAGGGATAGATTTAGTATTCAAACTTGTAAGAAATATGAACACTTATCAGACAATACAATCTGTGAGATAGGATAAAGAGAATGTCTAATGTATTTTCTATTACTCTTACCAAGTGCAATAGACATATCATTATTAAACTATATAGACTTTAAGGACTTAATATCCTTTAATACCCTTTAATAAACAATTATTACATAAAATGTATTTTACCTTAATACCCTTTTAGTCTAGTTACATATAGTAGATTCTCTGACAAGATAAATGGGGAGCTCAGCTGCTGCAGCTGATTGAGCTGCATGGTATCTAGTGGGTTCTCAGGGTTGATCAAATTTGATAAACCAACTGAATTTACTGTACCAAAAACTGTCCCATGTTTTTCTTCTATTTTTAATCTTAGCAAGCATGTCTCAAGTGATCTGAGGCCATCTAAGTTATAATCGGAGCTTGTGAAATGCTTTTGATAAATAAAGTCCTAAGATGACTCTTTTCCAAACTTCTACATCTCTTGAGCTCATCTTGGAGATCCAATCCAAGTATTCCTTTTTTATGTTAATTTTAAATGATGATAAAAACTAAAATAAAATTTTAATCATGTGTTAGATCTCTGTTAACTAGTAAAAGATTGAGAAAATAAGTGAATTAAGCTGTTGTTATATTTAAACTAGCGTCTAGCATCCCTCAGTATTTTTGTGTTAAAACAAAATGGATGACTAAGAATTATTCCTTTGCTCACTGGCAAACGTTACTTTTGCTCAGTTTTTACCTTTTAGTACTGATAGGAATGTAGAAGAAATGTATACTTCTAACTGGTTTGTTTAAAGTAGTTGAGGAGAATATCTGATTTATCTGAGGTTTCTCATTCATTGTTGGTAACTTCAGACAAGCCTGTGATGATATGGTCTATTGGTGCATGTGATAACTTGTTTAAGCTTTAAATGAGGAAGCAGTTTTGAATGTGAAGCCTGAGACTTGGAATTTAATGGATGTTATGTCTTTCTTAGACATGTATATTGATGGTATAATTGGAAGTATATTCAGGATGTTAAAGAGAACATAAATTGAAGTGTTAGAGAGAGGAAGCAAATCAAGTTAAATGGTAAAGTTGTAATGTTTGTAATTAATTATCTTTTTTTTTTTTTTTTTTTCTGTTCTAGAAAATATGTATATAGGGTTGTAATATTTAACAAAATATACATTAATTAAATAACTATTCTTAACATTACCAAATAACTCTTTTGCAGGAAACTAGTGTGTAAATTGTATGACACGATTGATATTGATGGAGGTTCTTTTGTTATTGAATTTTTTTTTTCTTGAAGTACGCTTTGCAGTAAGGTTGAAGTTAATATTGCCCAGCTCAAAGCTGAAAATCCATGATATGCCAAATTCTTGTCTCTAATTAATATATATATATTATTGCAGGACTTTGTTGCTGTGGACAATCCCTGTGTTGATAGCATCACTTTTGGTCTTAGTGATTGGCAGTTCGATCCATTTAGGGAATGTGTTACATGCAGGAATATCAACTGTGAGCGTTGTGCTTTACTTCTGTTTCTTTGTGATGGGGTTTGGGCCGATTCCAAACATACTCTGCGCTGAGATATTTCCTACCAGAGTTCGTGGAATATGCATTGCAATATGTGCCCTGACATTTTGGATATGTGATATTATCGTCACCTATACACTCCCTGTGATGCTGAAATCTGTTGGTCTTGCTGGTGTTTTTGGCATGTACGCAGTTGTGTGCGTTATATCGTGGGTTTTTGTCTATTTGAAAGTCCCGGAAACAAAGGGTATGCCCCTCGAGGTTATAACTGAGTTCTTTTCTGTTGGTGCAAAGCAGGCTGCAGCTGCCAAGAACAACTGAAGTGGTGATAACATGGATTCAAAGTTTTGTCCATTTAATGTTTATTTTTCTGGGTTTTTGTTTTGCTTGGGGGTGTTGGAAAGAGGAACTGGTTTTCTGTAGAGAGAAATTGTATTTGTTACTTCTTGAATACATTTTCAAGCTTTTCTTTTTCTTCTGAGCATTCTGATTATTTGAATTCTCTGTTAAAGATGAAACAAGTTTTCTAGAATTATAACTGTAAAAAGGGAAAAATAAAAGCAAATGAAGCAAAAAGCAAAAAACAAATGCCAAGATGATCATGAGGAACTTGGAGACTAAAGTTGTTCAATAAAAAAATGATTTGGTCAACATCAATATTCTTGTATTTAACTTACTTTTTTAGTTAAATTTTGGGAAAATCAGGAAAAAATTTGTTAATGAAATATATAACAATTACAGTTGTACTTTATGTGGTCACCAAATTATTATAAGGTTTATGGATTGTTATTATTAACAATATTTTTCTATTACATATATATATATATTAGTTTTATATATGTGTGAAAAACATAATGATATAACATTTTTATTATGGTGATTGATTATATACTAATAATATCATGTATTAAATTTAGATGAATGATTTCAATTTTTAAATATAAGTCTGATTTATTAATTTAATAAATAAATTAATTATCGAGTAAATTAAATCAGACAATACATAAAAAAAAATCTTAGAAAGATTTTACTAAAAAAATAAATTGTTTTTAATCTTATTATATTCTAAAAATAAATCAATTTATAAATAACATGACATTATCTACTTTCGTATAAATCAATCTCGATCATACGAGAATTAGATTTAATTTACCTATTATGTAAATGCAAGCAATAGGGTAGACATAATGAAAACTTAAAAAATGATTAACTTGTAACTTTTATCGTATTAGTTTGATATCATGTATGCTTTTTTAGGATTCAACGTCCAAAACTTGAAGAGAATTTCAAGAGAGAAATGACTTTTTTATTTTTTATTTTTTATATCTTAGGTTTTAACAAAGAGAAACAATAGAGATTTCTCTCTCACTTGTTTGACCGAGATATTATCTCATTTATATAACGTATATGTTTTATTTCTTGAATAAAAAAATTGAGGCAAAATCTTAATCATGGCAGAATCTTTTTCAAGACAATTTTAAGGGGGAAAAAAAATGCTTTTATCTTTTTCTCTTCTTCCTCTGGTTTTCACGAAAAAACAAGAGAGAATTCCCTTTCGTAATTTTTTTTTTGCCTTATTTAGTCCATTCTCTCCAGCATACAAGGTGAATATTTTGTTTCTTTCGTTTAGAAAAAAGGACCTAAACCAGGATCTTTCTAACATTATAATTCTTCATATTTTCAGGAACTCTTCTTAAAAGTTTAAAGCGAACAAGCTGTAGAGTAGAAGAGAAGAAGAAAAGTCTCTCAAAATCTTACACTTAAAAGAGAAATCCTAAAAAAAAAAAAAAAAAAAAAACCATCATGTCCTAAGGACAGGTGAATCCTTTACTATTTTATCCAATCTCCAATTTTCTTTGTAATAGTTTATACATTAATCCTTTACTATTTCTTCAAACGTTAATATAACGATAAAAGTAATTTAATAAAGGCTAGTCCAATTAGAGTTAGTAATTTAATTAGTCATGTAACGTCTAGTATGTTGGATAAAATAAAAAGACTAGCCTGGAATTTTATCTCTTCAATCTTAAAAATCAATTGATCTCAAAGCTAAGGAGAAATTCCATTAGGTGACTCATTAATCCAAATTATATTTGTTTACAACAACTAACTAAATCCATGTATCCTTTTCTTCACTTTTGCATTAATGTCTTCTACCAGTCCACTACGAATCTCCCAAAGTACCAGCATCAGTATTACTCTTTTTGCTCCTCTTCAATGAGATATTTCCATGTTGTCAGGATATGTAAGTTTCCAATGGTTTCTGTATTGTTACCGCACTCTCTCATGCTCAAATGATAAACTTTCAACAAGGCTAAGCTATTAAAATTACTTCTCCCACATACATATACATATATATATATATATATGTATATATTTTGCAACCTTTAAACACTAGTTTATACGGAACCCGCTATAGTTCCCAAATAAACTTTGTTGCAAATTTTTTAGATTCTCTTATTATGATAGTTATAATTTCATATAACCAATTGAAAAAAATATATTTTTCTCATTAACCATATTAAGTCTCAAAGAACTTATTTAGGAAACATTTAATCTCGGTAACTCATACTCAATAGATCCAATTTTATCATCTTTGTCAGTTGTAATCATCATGTTGCAACTTGTGAAAATAATGCTTATATGTATTATTTGTTTATCTGTCATCATGAGATTGTCACTAATCACTATCAAATTACATTAGTAGCTATCAATTTATCACTAAATGATTATCATACCATATGCATGTCCATCGACTGACGAGTACTTTTTTTAATCTCTACAACTAATTTTTTTTTTTTTGGCTAAAATGAAAAAAAAAACTTGGATTAACACAATTTGTTAACTAGACCGGACGATATTACAACAATCTAAATAAAGATATTTCTAGAGATCCTTATGAGCGTGAGTTAGCTTAGAGTACCCTGCAGACATATTGTGTGCCTTTGTTAATCCAGAACTCAGGATCGACTAACGTAATAAACAGTCTCACATATACATCAATATTCAAAATCCTAAAACTCTCAACAAATCCTCCTTACTTGACCTATATTCAATACTTGAATGTCAAACAAGGTAATCAGAATGAAGATTTAAATAATTAATATGCCACAAGAATGACTCTTAATAAGTAAAATCAATTCAAAGATTAATGAATAAAATGCCACAAGAACTCTTGATAAGTAAAACCAACACATCGCTCAGTAAGACAGTGGAAGATACATTCTCGAAGAGCTCTCACAATTAGCAAATAGCTAAAAGCCTTAAACTTAAATGTTATTGAATACTTAAATTGGAATGGATATAATTGAAAAACGAATTAAGTAATTATAAGTAAACTCTTAACTCTACCTAGACTAGAACTCCATTAATTAATTAATAAAAGAAAATAGAAAGCAAATAAAACAACTAATCCACTTGGATTTGGTCTCCTCAATGTAATCGGTTTTGATATCTTGATTTTTTATTATTTCTTGAAAGGATTTTGAGTTGGAGAAGCTTGAAACTTGTGGAATAAGAGTAGGAAATGTGATGGAGAATTCCACAAGAAGATGAATTCCTTGGCTGAATCTTATGAAGGCTTCATCTCCTTTTTTTCGTTGAATTCTTCTTCTCTTCTCTTGTATGTTGAAGTCCCTTTTTATGTAGAATTATTTAAGGTACATATTTGACTCTAAAAAGGAAAAGATTTCTAGGCCATCGGACTTGTATAGGGAGAGGGATTTAGGTTTCCCTTTCAAGTTAGACTTCATCTTGGAGGGCTTCTTTTTCTCCTCGAGTTTCTCTTGCTTTCTATGACTTTTTTCTCCTAGGATTCCCATGGATGTCCTCTTTGCATTCTTCTTTTTGATGGTCAATTTTCAAGTCAGAATGAAATATTTTCTTTCCCAATAAAAGATAAATTTGGTTATCTAAAGCAAAGGGAGAGTTCCCATGTGCTCAAGCTTCTTCCCTCTTCTTTCTTTTCAACTATGTGGCCTTAAGCCCCAAAACATGTATGGTCGAAAAAGTTTTTACATTTTTTAGTTTTTTTATAGATCTTGGGCTGTCAAATATATTTCTTGGTTAAACTCCTTTGGACTAAACGGTTTGTAGCTTAGGGAATTTTTTTTGGCCGGATTCTTGGATTAGACCGAAGATCCCATCCTTGATAGGTTTGGATTTTTGAAAATCCAAAGAGAAGTTGAAATTCAAATTCTTGCGAGATTGAGACTCCCCCCCGCTAACGCAAGATTTCTTTCCCATGCGTTATGTAGGCGCACCTGTGCTGAGCATTCTTGTGTTGCCTCCATGTGCATATAGGTGGCTTCCTGGGCTATAATCGTGCTTGCATATGCTTTTTCCCATGCTGGTGTGCTCTGGGTGCAGGTACCCCCTTGCCCACAGACGTGCCCTCCTTGACCACCTGAAATGTACTTTTTTCGCATGTCTAGTAGCACATCATTTGTGCAAGTGATTAAAACACTAATTAATTTTCCTATTGACATACACAGTCAGGACCTTTTAATTACTTTATAGACGTGTCTTTATTTCTTTAATTATATTGTTGCTAAGGTGGTTAAGATCTTCCTGTTGCTAAATGAGTTGTTGATATATAAGGAGTCTGTCTTTAAGATGAGCTTCATGATATCTTATATCACACTTTTGATTCAAAGATTGTATATGATGCATTTCAATGACTCACCACAGTTCTTCTTAGTAAGGCCACCATTGCTCACATGGTAGCGAACTCCTTTTAATTGAGCCATTGATATTGAGTTTGAACTATGCTGAATGTAGAGATTTTCACCCTACATTCAGAAATCTGGTATGTTCTATGATGTGGAATCCAAGATCAACAAACAAAATTAGACACACACAATTTTATTCAAGACATCGAAGGAATTTGATCTTATGAAAATCCTCCCTACTTAACCATCTATCAAGAGTGATAGAAACTAAGATAATTGGAAAATGGAGGATTAACATAAGAATAGCAAAATACCACAAGAAATTATCTTGATAAGTAGATCCACTCCTTACTCAACAAGAAGGATGGAGATAACTCTCTTTAATAAGACTCACAATATTATTAATTTCAATCTTGAATTATTATAATGAAGAATTGATGAAATATTTATAGGGTAGGTCACGTGAATAAAACAGTAATAAAAATCTCATAATTTAAAATTGCAATTATATAGAAAATTAATTAAAATTACAGTTTAAATTTTTAATTAGGTACAATTATATAGGAAATTAATTAAAATTAAAGTCTAAATTTTTAACTATGATATATATGGTCTTCCTCCTTTATTAGAAGAGATTATGAGTTACTTAGGAAGAAGTTTTATATTAATTTAGGCAGCCATGAAGGCTCCCTTGATAGCCGCCCACAATTTCCTTTTTTTTTGGCTGATTACTTTATTTTCTTACTCCTTTACATCTTGTGCTTGAAGCAAGTTGATGAGACCATTATGCCTTTGGGCTAATTGGTTGGGT